GTATTTTTGTTTGCAAGGCAATTATCGTTGCTGCGTCAACTCGGAAATGCGAACACAAATTGTGAGTGCTTGACTGGAGGTGCTATGTACATAGACAAAGTACTGACCATACATATATTGTCATTTGATCGCGTTCCGGGGTTATTATTTTCCAATCAATTATTAAACGGCCAATCTAGGGTATATGCACCGGTTGTTCTCGCTCAATTTCGTCCTCACAGATTGACAAGGGACAAAATAAACAATGGGAGAGAAGATGAGGTTGGCAGGAAAGGCCTCAATTTTCTGAATTGGTGAGCGCTCAAAGTAATTGTAAGAGGAAATTAATATAGAAGAGAATATATTTAAAAAATTAATTTAAAAAAATATTATCTTAGCTTACTTTAATTTTAATTCATAGGCTTTCTACGTCATTGATTGTTCACTGGAGACTGATTTTAAGAGGAAAAATTAATTGAAATATTTTCCTTAAAAATAATTTACTTTTTCCAGGAGTTATTGAGTTATATTTATGATGTATGAGCAACAATTAGGTTTTGAAAAATAAAAATTAATCCGTCAAACAGTTTTTAACTTAAACTCTTCCAGAATATTATGCGGAAAATTAATTTTAACCTGCATTTTGCTACAATGGAATTCCAAGAGCGATCAAACTTTTGAGAATAAATTTGATTAGCGGAATTGAAATGGCACAATTGGATTTGCAAGCGAAATGGAAAGTGCGTGCCGAAACGCGCAAAATCAACAAGTTCATTGTTTGCTTTGAGAGGTTTCGTTCGGGCGTGTTCAATTATTTCGCGCCGCCGCGGTTTTCGGTCGCTCGATCGTCACCGTCATCTGCTCATGCTAGCTCAATTTCGCCAGTGAATTATGCAAACATTTGTTCGCGCTCGGATGACTCGCCTGATTGAGTCGAATTTTTATGCAAATCTACTTTTCGGATGGGACGATCGCTGGCGGCCAATGGAGCAAACGCAGAGAGGAAAAAAACACGATCGCCCAAATAAACCGGAAAATAATCGGCCGTGTGACACTTTTGAAACTCCGGCACAACTTATTACCATAGTTATTGGATCGTTTGCATAATGTTTCGCATCAAAGAAGCTGCAATTTGCTTTCACGATTTTCCCCCTCTGGATAAATCTGTGTATAAGAATTTTCTAGTAAATCAAAATATTTTAATGAGGAATAAAGTTTATTAAAGATAAAGTGAGTGAGTTTAATAATTTTTTATTTCAACTATTTATGAAACTAAAATACACCATTGTGATCTATAAAAAATTTGAAAAATGATGGGATAGAATTTCCATAATTTAACATAAAACTAACAATAAATTATATATTTCAAACAAATAATAAAGCAAAAATTTAAATAATCATGGATTATCGCAAGAATTAAAAATTTCAAATTCATTTATGCATATTTTTTTTTACATTTTCCTCCATTAAGCGTCAATCACTTTTCGCTTTGTAAATTGTAAAACAAATCACGCATGATGCTGACAAAAATGAAATTTCGAACAAAAGCGTGTCAGAAAATTGCCGCGGCGCTAAACTTTTTGCTCGCATGTGGATCTGCCGCGAATATAAAAGTAGCGTCTCTCTCTTCTTAATATCCTAAGGCCATTAATTTTTCAACTTTCGCCGCACGCGCGCGTCAAAAAATTAATAAACCGGAATTGGTTTTCCGTCGCGGCAAATTTTCCCGGCGCCGTTAAAAATTCACCAGGCGGTGGAATAATTCATAAGCGGCGGGGAGAAATTTCTTCTCTCACACCGCGTGCATAACCCAGTTTTTGCTCGTGTTGTGGCGCCGAGGTTTTCTTTGCCCCATTCGTGATTGATATTCCCTCGGAAACTGGCGCGGCGTGCCTGCGGTAAATTCAATTTTATGGCTGCATAAAATCGGCCGAAAGTGCACGTGCGGTGCGTCCCTATCCGCCGATGTCTGATTTACCTTTTTTGCTCTCGACAGCTCTGAATTATGCATGAAAAAGTGATCACAAAAGTTGTGCCGAGCAAAGATTCATAAAATTCTGTATTTGAATAGAACTCTCTCTCGGAGAAGGAAGAGGCCAAGGTTTGAACACTCCGCAAGCCGCTTTGATAAGTTTTATTGTACCTGCTGGGCGCTCTGTCAGTATTCGATAAGACTAGAATGAAGGGGCTTGAATGCGCGCCGCCGACACATAATCAGCTCAATTTTTCAAGGGAGCCTATCAGCTCGGAAAAAAGATCAGAAGAAAAGCAGCTTTCGTCTCACATGCGAAATAAATTGAAATTGGATCCATTCTTTGTGTAATTTGAGGATTGAATTTTAAATCAGAGTTTCCCGGAAAGGAAAGAAATAGGATTGCAAAAGGTGGGAAAATGTTGAAACCTTCATTACAAACCTTGTATATAGAAAAGCGGGATTTGATCTCGTTGAAAAGTGGTTTTTAATCTAAAGTTGAAGCCCTTTTTGGTCACTTCTAGGAACGTCTCCACGAGTGCCAACTTTTTCACTCAAACGCTGAACTTTTTATATCCTTAACTATTATTGTTGAATTTTTAATTTAATTTAAAATTGTAAAGAATTTTCCTCTACATTCGTTTTATGTTAAAATTTAAAAAAAAATTATCAATTTATCATAGAAATATAATACAAATCCAAAACAAATTAATAATAAATCAGAAAAAAATCCCTTGGATTTTAATTACTCGTATTTAAAAATCAAACAAACTAAATCTTATTGTTAATATTTAGAATTTTGGACTCCCAGATGAGTACGAGGAAGTGGAGTTTGAACGTCAAAGGTGTTCTCTAACTAAAGAAAATACAGAATTATAAACATTCATCTATTAAATTTATATAATGATATCACAATAATATGAGGATAAAAACATGGGATTTAAATCTTCTATCAATCTCTGTGGTTGATGTAAAGATTAGCCTTTTTATAGCAAATTTTTGAATCACTTTGATGGAAAATGCAGCAATATTTCAAAAACTCATCAACTGAATCCGTTTTTCCTGGTGGAACTGGTTTTCCAACCAGAAGGTGCTCCACTTTGATGCAAATATAATGCAGATGAGCACACGTGCGTATTGCGAGGGATGCAATTTTTCCTGGTGCTATCTTTGCATGTAAATTGCACCATTTGATTTGATTAGTTGCATCCCTTTGGTGCGATGTGGCGCCCAGTTGCCTCCCGACCGGTTGCATACCCTCTAATTAATGCAGGCGCTGATTAAACCGCACCACTGGATATTAATCGCGTTAGCGTAGGCAGTGCAAATTAAATGGGTCGGAAAGCACTTTTGTGTTTATTCAAATATGCTTTTTGCAGAAGGCCTCAATCAATCAAACCATCAATAATTGCGTGCGAGTGGTTTGTGTGCTCATGATAACAAAGATATTCATCACATCACAGTTCCTGTGAAATAATTGTTCGATCGCAATCAACAAAAATCTGCGAGCTTTCGTTTATAGCTCAATTTTTTAACCGTTTTTATCATTAAATATTATTGAACCCAAAAGGCCAAACAAAAATTCACTTCTGAAATAAGCATTGATGTATTAAATGACCAAAAACTACAAACATTTAATTTTATCCAAAAATGTCGCATGCAATCAGTTTATTTTGTGATCTTTTCCAACCTTGAAGCTTAAATTATATTTTATTATTTAGGCTGGCCATGGAACCTAATTAAAAAAATCAGTACCCCCTGCCATCTGCGTTGAAATTTCTGTCAGCTCACGTCACCTGAAATAATGTGTAATTTAATGTTATGTGAAAGTTTTGAATTAATTTTACTCCTCTTCGGAGAGTCCGTTCAATTTTTTATTTTTAAACACTTTTTCTTTTAAATTCAGTTTTACAGTCTAACCTGTACAATTTATTTTAATTTAACTGAAAGAGATTTTGAAACAAGATAAACTAATTCAAAATTACATAAAGCGCGTCGTTATTTGACATGCTTTTAAAAGGGGAAAATGCGATGAAAATTTTATAAGCAAGTAAGAACTTCAAGTTAATTAGGTTAGAGGGATCTTGTTTCACAAACGGAAGGAATGTTGATGGAACCTTTTGAAGAGCATCCGGTTACTTTTGTAACATTTTTCTTTCAAATTGACACCTCGGCAGAGGTTTTGCTTTGATCTTTTCTCAAAACGTTGCTTGATATTTATTAAATTAAATTTCCTATTTCCTTGTTCATATTTAATTTTAAAAATTTAATATTTTTTTGTTCACCATATAAATAAAGTGTGTCCTTTTGAGCTTGTTTAACCCCCATTGTACTAAATTATGGATCACTGCGCACGAGAAATCACGTGGTGTGACGCGCCCTTGTCACCGCATGTTAATAAGTTGCTCCATTACAGTTTTGATAAAGCGTGTTTGCGCTGTTCAAAGATACAATGTCTGTTTGTTTTGTTCCAATAGAGAACACACAGAGGTGCACGCCACGTGCTTTGCTGCTGATTTCGCAGAAAAGCAAACACAAGAGGGTTATTATTATATCAGGTTTGCTGAGCATCTGAGCTGTAAACAATGTTTGCAACGGGTTGAGAAGGTTAAATTTTTGGAAAGCTCTTCAGAATTCAAGCAAATTTAAATATTTTACCATAAATTTCAACTTTTACTATGAAAATATGTAATATTTGAGGTACTAAATTTGCGTGAAACTTTCTGGAGAATTTCCTCCCTTGCTATAAATTAATTAAGGGAAAATCTGTAAACTTCTCGGGGAGATTTCTTTGAAAATTTAATCTCTGATTTATATTAATTGGTTCCTATAATAACACTCTAAAAATTCACATGTTTGAATAATATTTTAAATTATTACCAAAATTGATACATTTCTATAGGTTAGTTTAGCATTGAATTACTTTAAAATTAATAGGAAAAAATATTATTTAATTTGAAATCTTCACATATGCCGCTGGCCTTTTAAAATTATAATTAATACAAATTCAATATAAGTTTTTAATTGCTTGTTAAATTTATTGTTGCAGGTTCGCTGTACGTGGGTGTGCGAGCTGACAAATCATCCTGGCTATGTGGTCTACTCGGCGCTCGGCTCTTTCTACTTGCCAATGCTGGTCATGCTCTTTTTCTACTGGCGCATCTACAGAGCGGCCGTCCAGACTACACGAGCCATTAATCAGGTACTGACATTTGTTTTGCAAGGGTGCACGTTTACTTGTATATCTTTGAAGAATGAGAGATTCGATTGTTCTTACTGAACTTGTTTATCGCTGAAAATAAGAAAACATCAGAGAAAACTGAAAATTGTAAATAATCACGTTTATTAGATTTTTTAATCATTACAAATTTTACACAGATTAGGTAATTTAGAATTCATTAAAAATTATTTGGTCTATGAATTTTTTCTAACAGATACAAGTTTAATTATTAATAATGACAGATAAAACTCTCATTCTTCCTCTCAAAACCTTTATTTAAAAACTAAAATTTGGATTTGCTAATTAAATACATTAAATTATCTAATTGTTATATCACTTTATTTTAAACAGACATCATAATCAGAGAAAATTGGTGAAAAAAAAATGTAGAATTCAAACAAATTCCAATTTTTATTTACTGGAATCAGCAATTTTGAATGATGTATAAATGTAATTAATATAATATATGATTAAAAATAAACTCCGCAGGGCTTCCGCACGACGAAAACGCACCGGTTCGACGAGCAGCGGCTGACGCTGCGCATTCACCGGGGCCGCTCGTCACTCCATTCCAAGACAGGTGGTGGTGGCGGAGGCGGCGGCGGTTCGCCGGCGTCTCGACGCCTCGAGCGCTGCAACACGCAAGACAAGATCCAGATCAGCGTGAGCGTGCCGCCCCCGGAGGCGCCCACGTCGTACGCGGTGCACTACACGACGACCAACGGCGAGGGCACCGCCGGTCTCCTGGGGGTCGGCAACCCGCCCAACAGCGGCCCGCAGCTGTCGCCGTCGTCGTGCGATTCCGAGGACAACAGCCAACGGCCCAGGTTTGTCTCCAAAATGGGCAAACGCAACATAAAAGCTCAGGTATTATAATTTTTGTTACAAAATTTTTGGAAATGCTTGTGAATTAAAATTTTCCCAATAGAACTTCTTCTAAGAATACTTAAAATTCCACAAAAGGGTCCATGAAATTTAAAAAAAAAAGATTAAAAAAAATCTGGAAAAAATCAATGTAGATAAATTGTTTATAGGATTAAAAAAAATTTCCTTTTTTTTAGTGAAAAATTCCAAAAAATTCATTGAAGTTCCATATTTTGGATCCGAATGAAAAAATTTGCACAGGTGCATTTTCTTGAAAATCGTTGTGAAGCGGAAAAACTAACAAATTAAAAAAAAAATGATAATATCCATGTCAAAAGAATTATTTTTTAATTTGGATCTTTTCCCGACTTTTGAACTGGGAAGTTAACTTTTTTGCCCCTCCACACAGCTTTTTTTTCCTTTTCCTGTCCCTTTCACACTCGATCCACGTCAAAAGCTCAAAAGCAGCAAAGAAGAAGTTATTAAATTGATGGATTGGCGCTGCAAAATTGAATACGCCCCTCATACATCTCTTCCCCGGCACCGAGTTTGCACCGCCGAGAGGGTTAATTCCATACCGACGATCGAGCCACACCAGCCATGTGTGATGCGTCCGCAGAAATCGCCTCGGACTCTGCAACGGAAGCACACAGTGCCCTTTAATCTTGAAAGGCTATTCCTTGATGTCACACAGTAGAATCTTCCATTCAAGAGGGTGACCCAACTTTTATATATGGGTCGATTGGTCGTTTTCAGGTTGACATCTGTACAGATTTAGATTTTTATGAAAAGCTAATTTGACAAATTAATTATGTTATTGATAGTAAAAGACAAACCTTTTTTTAAACTGAAACAACTTCAATAGATTATAATAAACTCTTTTCTTCTAATATTTTCAATTTCCTATATTTTTTAATCCTTTTTAGTAAAGAATTAATGATATTAGCACAGGGACTATTTTAAACATATTTTAATTAAAAAGGAAAATTCAACCTCAAAACGATTCATTTTAAGGTTCAAAACCGACTATTGTGACCGCATCCGACAATGAAAATACTGGAAAATACTTCAAACTGAACATATTTTTTTTTTTTACCTATGATTAAGAAAAAATTATTGTTTTTCAGCGCAATAGGTGAAAAATATTCGATTTTTGTTGAAATAAAAAGAACACATTAGGAGATTTTTAAAAAACTTTTAAATTGTGAGTTTCAAAAAATTCTCCTTGTTGAAACTTTTGTAATTTTTCCGACGTTCCCACAGAGGCTAAATTATATTTTATTTCATAAAAATATAAGTGAATTGAGAGGAATATAGAACTTTATTTTTCACTCATCTTCAGGCTTTTTTAATACATTTTACCTCAATTCCAAAGAAAGTGTAAAAAAAGGTGATCGCCTATTTTTCCAATCTCTCAAAACTTAAAATTACCTATAATTGTAAGCAAATATTATATTTTTAACTACAAGATTTTTTTAATATGTTTCAGGTGAAGCGTTTTCGGATGGAAACAAAGGCGGCCAAGACGTTGGGCATCATCGTGGGCGGCTTCATTATGTGTTGGCTGCCGTTTTTCACAATGTACGTGGTGCGCGCGTTCTGCGACGAGTGCATCCACCCGCTGGTTTTTTCGATCCTCTTCTGGCTCGGCTACTGCAACTCGGCCATCAACCCGTGCATCTACGCGCTCTTCAGCAAGGACTTTCGGTTCGCCTTCAAACGCATCATCTGCCGCTTCCTGTGCAACAAGAAGCCCGTCAGGCAGTTCACGCGCAACCCCAACAACCGACGCAAACTGGGCACGCGACGCAAGATGACGGCGACCGGCGTGCCCCCGGGGCTGCCGCACGACGAGAGCGACGCCAACGGCTCCGACTCGCGGTGACGTCGAAGCTCCAACGACCCCGACGGCAGCGGCTCGTCGCACAACAATTAATGAGAGGAAAGAAAAATAATTGGACTTTCCGCAAGTGAAAATAATTCATACCTGCTGCAGGTGTTTAAAAAAAAAACATGACAAACTTTGACTCACCTACCCCAACTATTCCACTGAGAAATTATTAAAACCTAATTTTCTTTATTAATTCGAACTTAAAATTTTCAAAATCTCATATTTTAGGGTTAAACAGCCAGAATAAGACTCTAGGGTAATTTTCAAGGTAAAAATTTACGTTATTTTATAAATCATTTCTAGAAACTTTTAAATTGATTCATTTAAAACTTAAAACTTTAATTTTTATGCCAAAACTTTGCCACTTCTGTAAAGTTTGTGACCAAGAAATCTCAAGTCTGGATTTTTATTTTAATATAAAATGGAAAATCCAGTTAACTAAGCCCTCCGATTCCATGAAATGTTGTGTTAAAGTATTGAAAAACTTATTCTTATTTGCACAAAAATGTCAAGCAAGTTGCGTTCTTTTTGAAAGGATTATATAATTTTTCATTAAAGAATGCTGAAAATTCATTTAATATAATATTTTTACATTCTCATATTTATAAAAAAGGTTCTGTTTAAAATTTTAGCAATGCCGTTTTTACAATATGCTTATTTTATCGATTTTATTAATTTTAAAATCAGCGATTAATTTATTTGTGTATAAGTACATTAGTCATTACATTCCCTGATACCTTTCAATCATCATCATTAAATTTATTCAGAATTGATTAGAAGTTCTAAAAAATATTAACAATCTGATTTTTTTTTTTTTACTAAAAATCTAATTTAATTATTTTTAACATTTTTGTCGTCAAACATTTTACTTCACAATTTCTTTGCTTTTTATTTATTGTATATTTATAAAATGAGAATAATTAATTTTGTGGATTTTTCCACTCACAATTTAAGGCTGAGATTGGACGAATCCTCAAATAAGTGCAGCAGTTGCGACCAAAAGTTAACGACGCACGTTTTAACTCTTGTTTGCACTGCACTGATCTCGTATATTTATAATAACGCAGCAAATTAGTTATTCATTTAAAAAGCGCTTGCAGAGAGGGCGGAGGTTATTAATTTTAGTCTGCGTGCGCAAACGAAGCAATTAGCCCAGAAAAATTGGTTTTCTCGTCTCGGTGCGGCGCGCGGCAAAGAAATTATACTTCCTCCCTTCTCGGTTTGACTGCAAAAGCAGGGCTTGAAGAAGTGATTAGCCAAAGAGACTCGCGCGTGTATAATAAAAAGTGCGCTTGGCACCTCCAAGCTGTTGCTTTTTCTCGCTGCAAAAACTTCTTCTCTTTCTCTTATACATGCGCGCGTGCGGGCCAAATTAATTAAATAAATCCCGGGGCTAAACATTAATCTGGAGCTGCCGCAGCTTGGCGTGTGTATCCACCGCGGCCAGAAATATTTTATTAAAGAAAAACCGAAGGAACGCATTCTCTCTTGCTCTTTCCGCCGGCTGATTTTCTGATAAATGAGCTGAAGAGTTTTTTTTTGGTCGCTTTTCTCCTCCCTTCTTTGGGTTCTTTCTCTGGCAAATGCGACGAGCGCGCGCGCTTTTTATTAAAAAAGTTTCCGCTTTCTTTGGTAAATTGGTTTGTCCGCCGCTGCCTCTCACCACGTAAACATTTTCAACGGCACACAGCAGCGTCAAAGGTAAATATTTACGATTCAACTTACTTGAGACTTAATTTTCTTTTATCCAACTCGTTTGACATTCCAATTCAAAATGTTAATTAATCGCTCTATAAATAATATATTTTTGTACTCCCTTTTTTAAGAAGGAATATAACATTTTTTTATTGATTTTTATATTAAATTTTAATGCAATTGTCAAACTAATAAAAAGCTCTATTTTCGTTACCAGATTTCTTTTAAATCGATTATTAAAAATCGGGATGTTTTAATTTCAAATTCAAATAAAATATAAAATTTATTCAACATTTGCTCATTTTATCAAATTTTATTTTGATCAACCCATTTTAAATTTCATATACATCATCATCATCTAAAATTAAATCGGTGAATCGCTTAACTAATATATCATAATTCATAATACATGAAATAAAATAATATTTTTCTGTTACTTTTTAGTAAAAATAGTTTATTGAATTTTTTTAATGAGCTTGGAACATCAACACTTCATATAAAAAATCTTCATTAGGCAAATTCCCAATTAAAAAAAATGCAAACTTTTTTTTCATTTTAGTTTCCTTTACTTAGCTTTCGAGTATTTTTTCTCGTCTAATTATAATTAATCTAGGTTGATCTTTAAAGCAGTGGTCGTGTTGGGGTAGGGAAGAGTGCAACAAAGCAGAGTTTAATTTATTTTTCAATGTTCAGCAGCAGTGCGCGTGTGTTTAAAAGTGTTTAGCGCAAAGTGTATGTTGGACGCAAAAAAATAACAAATAATCGTTTTTGTGAAAAGACATGTGAGAATATTTAAAGTGGGAGGAGTTTAATTATAGTGATAAAAAAGCAACGGAGATATTTGTGTGCGGAATGAGACGTTTAAAAGTAAATAAATATTTTGATGTAAAAAGAAACACAAAATCCAAAAAATTGAACAAAAACCTCACTTTTTCTTGTTACATTTACAATGTTTTACAAATAATAGAAAATATTCCATTAAGTTTCGAGCAAAGTTTATGATATAAAATATATGGATTATATAAGAAGCTCTTTCCATGCATATGAAATACACACAAGGAAGAATGTATGCCAAAAATTATCATAAATATTCTCCTTTATAAAAGCTGTGTTAGAAGAAAAGCTCATATGTAAAATTACACAAATTTCACCTGAAAGTAAAGTTTAATTTTTAAGATGTTAAACGTTTTGCATTTTACAAAGTGTTTTGGTGTCAAATTTAAATTCTTCAAATTAATAGAAAAAAAGTCATCTCTCTATCAATGGATTTCTTCTCTTTGGACAATTAATAAATATGGGTTTAAAAGAAATTTTATCATTCTGTTATATTTTCTCGCTCTTTTATATATTATTCTATTTGTGGAAAAACTCTCATTACACAGCTCTTTTGACTGGAGATAAAATTGACGTCGTTTTGTCGGAAGATGTTCTCTATAAATGTGCAAAAAAAAATTGAAATCTACAAAATTCGTGCGTGTTAATAGAAAATCAAACCACCGGATTGCTTGGTTGACTGTTAAGACTGACTCAAAAATATATGTGCAGCGATGACGTGAGGGATGGAAAATACCATGTCCAATAATGAATCAAAAATAAAAGCCATAAATAATATTTCTCGTGTTTTACTTTATAAAATCCTTTGCGGCGAGCTAAAAGAAAAAAAGACAGAAAAGTAAGTTTTGCTGGAAAATATTTGATTCAACCAAAAAAATGAAATGATTGATATTTCCAATTCGCTTTCATGAATTTTTCATTTTTTATTTTCATATTTTAAAAATAATATTACTTTTTCTGTAGGTATATTTGATGTGCCATCTATGAACGGAGCCTTCAATTGCGATGCCGGCGCGCGATTCGCCTTTACACGCGGGCGCTTTTAACTGTTCTTTACCTGAGGAGAGACCTTGAACCTGAGCGAGTTATCCACCTGACTTTGATCACCACTCCTCCTTTCTGACGCGAGACCACGTTGCAGCTGAGAGCAGTGTTTACAAGCAGAATCAAGTGCGGCGTATTCGAGTAAAAAAATGAGACTGCAGGTGATTTGCTCATTTTTGGCAATAATCAGCTTTGAAGGTACATAATTAAGTCTAATTTATTACATACTAGTGTGGAGGGAATTTTTTAATTAACTCCTCAAACCTGTTTTCCAGGAGAAACAATGAGAGAAAAACAATTTATATTTTTTACGTTATATAAATTGATTTAAAGAAAATGATTTCAAAATCAACTGAATTTTAAATAATTAAATAATTATATCATTAATTGCAGCTGCTCAAAGTGATCAAGAAACATGGAGCAAAGATATGACAAACGAGATAGAAATTGGACCTGCCGACTCTGGATACAAAGAAGTGCACCTCAGGTGCATAGACAAAAAACGCATATTTCAGGTAACAATTTTTTATTAATTATTTACTTCTTTTAATTATTCTCAATCCAGGTTAATATTGAGCTGGACGAAGACTTTTCGGGAGTGATCTACACCCGCGGTAGTTACGCCGGTAAGGACAAGGACTGCTACCTGAAGGCCAAGTCAGGTCGAAAATTCCGCATGAAAATCCCCTTCGAAAAATGCGGCACCAAACAAGAGGGCGACGTTTACAAAACGGTGCTCATCGTCCAGTATGACGAGTTCCTCATCATGCCCGGCGACGCAGCCTTTGAGCTTGAATGCAACCTGGGACCAATGGTGGCCGAGGTCACCGTCGACTCCTCCATCAGCACCCAACCTGCAGTCAGGTATATAATTTTTAAGCGAAAATTTTTGTTGAATGACAATTTTCTTTTAATCAAAATTATAGAAAGCCGTTGTCGAAGATCAGTTTGGCCGACGCTGACCCCTCCGGAAAACCCCTCCCGAGGCACAGACAATCCGTGGTGACGGGAGATGAAGGGCAGGTGTCGTTTACTCCCGACGACGTCAGGCCAAGGAGCAGCAAGAAAAATAAGAGTGGAAAGGAACACAACAGCAAAACAGTAAAAATCGAGTTGTGAAATTTGCCAAGAGGATTGCAAAAATTTTGGCCTTTTGTGGAGCGACGCGAGGAAAATGATTTGGAACATTTTAGCTGAATGTGCTGTGTCGGGTGTGGGTGGATAACTGGATAACAAATTTACGACAGAACACGCGCGCCTGACAGTATATTTCAGTGGCTGCGCTCAGCTATTTTTGTGCGGGGGTGGTGTGTGCGAACGTATAAATTTAATTATTGCTAGTGAGAGAGCGAAATGTGAAATGTCAGCGTATTTCGCAACCAAAAAAAGAGCGCTAATTTTTTTGACGTCTTCATTGTGACATTTTTGTGCTGCGCATAAAACAGATATATATGATAAAGAAACAAAAAAGCTTTGCCAAATCACTCGTTAATTCCAGTTTAAATTGTTTTTAAATTTAATTAAAAATTATAACTTGAATATTTATTTCGTCTCTTATTCTGAAATCACTTTTCAAATCTACAAAAAATACACTCAAGCTGCCCTTTCAAATGAATATTTTTTTATAATATTATATTTAGAATAAACAAAATCAGGTTAAAATTTTTATATGAAACATAGCAAATTTTAATAACATGTAAGTGGAGATGAAACCTGCCCTTTCATAGAACCGAATTTTAATTCAGATTTTTTTATTATTTATTTACGTGCACTTACGGTTTATTCAAAATTCCATGTATTTAAATTTTTAAACAATGAAATTTTAGGAAAGGATTTAAATATTGGTAACAAAAATTATCAGCACAACCTTTAATATCATATTATTCATTATTCATCACAAAGGCGCGCGCTATGTGCTGATAAAACACGGTGCTGAAAATCGCGCGTCAAATGAACATTTTATATCTCGCATAATTTCACTAAAAGCTGCAGTCTTATCTGGTAAAGGCGTACTTAACCACATTTAGATAAGATTGATGGTGTTTCAGCTGCCCAATTTAATTGTCACTTGAGGCACTAATAGCTTTAGTGTCAAAGATGGAGCGACATTCTAGCATTGTGATGGAGTTGGGGGCTGAGACCTGCAAGGTGGGTCTCAGCAACCAGAGGACCCCCGCGTCTATCCGCACCATCGTTGGTCGCCCAATAAACAAAGTTTGTCTTCAACAGGCGGCAATTAAGAGTGATAATTTACATATTAATTTTCTTCTCAGGGTGGAATTTCCATCTTAAGGGACCATTACGTTGGCGACGAGGCCCTTTTAAAACAGGATGTCCTCGGTCTTCGTCGGCCCTTGCGAAGGGGCAGGGTTGACAGTTGGGACGACATGATCCTCCTGTGGCAATACGCCTTCAAGGAAGTTCTCAGGGTGGACCCTGAGCAGCACCCCGTCCTACTCTCCGAACAGCCTCTAGTGCCGCCTGTCAATCGGGAAAAAATGACGCAGGTGCTTTTATGATTTTAATTATAAAATTGAAAATTTACTAAAAAATATGAATTAAGGTTCTTTTTGAAAACTTCAATGTGCCTAAAATGTACGTAGCCAGCCAGCCAGCTTTGACGCTCTTTTCCATTGGCAAGACCAATGGCCTCATTCTCGACACTGGATTGGACGCAACCTATGCTGTGCCCATTTATGATGGTTGAAATTTAAGATTTCTATAAATAAATTTTTTTATAAAAAAAAAATTCGTTTCCAGGATTTACTGTTAAGGAGGGAATTAGAAGGGTGGACCTTGGGGGTAATGATATTACTAATTACATGCAAAGGGAACTCGAGGCCAGAGGTGTATTTACCCAGCATGCAGACGTCCTGGTTCACAACCTTTGCTACGTAGCCACCGACCTCGAAGCAGAGTTGAAGAATCCAAATTTGTCAGCCTCTTTCCAACTGCCTGACGGACAGGTTAAAATTTTTGCTCATTTTCCATTGAAATAAAATAAATGTTTGTATGTGCAGGTGGTTAATGTTGATTCAGAGAGAGTTCTTGCTCCCGAGGGACTCTTCAACACAGCCGTCTTTGGCTGCGAGGCCATGGGTGTGCCTCAGTTGGTGTCCGAGGCCATCCAGGACTGTCCGAGCGCTATTCAGCAGACAATTAGCAAGCAGGTGGTCATTTCAGGAGGACCTCGAACGCTGCCATATCTTGCCGACCGCCTCCACACCGAACTGGAGGCCAGACTCGGGGGGCACTTGAAGATCGGAGTCTGGGGTCATGAAAACGGGCTTGTGCCCTCCGCCTGGATGGGAGGTGCCATTTTTGCCGAGCTCAAGCAATTCCAGGACATGTGGATTACCAAAAAGGAGTACGACGAGCTTGGGCCTAATGTTGTGCACAGGAAATGTGATTTGGTTTGAGCCAGAGTGATTAATTATAACATGTAAATATTGTTTGTCTTTCTTTCTTTCAAAATCTTACAACATTTATTAAAATACACTTTAAAGTACAGAACTGGCTTTTTGTGTGTTCAACAGTCACAAAACAAAATGCGTGGATTATAATGTATCATAAATTAGGGAAGATAAAAACTAAAAATGATTTTAACAAACAATGTTTGTGCTCTTGGATGGCAAGGAATAACCGTACCGCAAAAAGGTGGGCTTGGTTGCACATAAGTAGCAAAGTTTCAAGTCCGAGTCGAAACATGAGAGCACCCGAAAGAAGCAAGAGAGAATGGAAATAAATTAAACCTGAAGAGAAAAATAAGGTGGAATGATATTGGCTGCTGGAGATGAGCTAGGATTATCTGTTGGCCACTTTTTGCCGCGCAGAGTCTGCGTGGATGGCTCTGTTGTAGAGCAGAACTCCCACCATGACGGTGCAGGTTCCGAGGCCGCTCAGCACAGTCACGGGGTTGCCGAACAGAATCACAGACAGCCATATCAGGAAAGCTCGTTTTGCAGTGTTGGCCACACTAGAATTTCAATTTTTACATGATTAATTAAAAACTTTAAATTAAAATTTAAATTATGAAATCAATCAATTTAATTTTAGAATGATTTAATGTAATTTTTACTATGTTTTCAAAATTTAAAAAATTTGAACTTTTATGAAATGCAATACTCATCAATATGATCATCATGAAGAATTTCTACTTTTGAATTATTTTGGGTTGCATAAATTAATACCTGTGTGTCACAGGACTGATGTAGTCCATAAGCACGTAGGCAGTGATGCTCTGGAAGTGGAAAAACAGTCCGTTGAGCAGAAAAAGGGATAGGAGAGTGTGGTCCGTTTCATGGGTCACTATGTCTATATCAACAAACAACAACGAGGCAGGGATTTGAACAACCACGGAGGCCATGCTTGTGTAAAACTGCAGCTCAGCTGGACTGAAATAAAACAAAATTATTAGAAAAAATCAACACGAAATTGAATTAAAAAAAAAGCTCACGTATATTTGAACTGGTCCCCGCTGATAAGCATTTTGGAGTACACATTCTGTAAACTGAGATGAGGACTGTAAAAATACATTTATTTTTAATAGGGTGGTTTGTCTCACCATTCGGTCAAGTTTGTGGCCATAGCTGCTATGAAGCCTTTCATGTTGAAACTCAACTCGTTGGCCGAACAGAGGGCCAAGCCGGTCATCACAGGTATTAGAGACAGATTCACATACAGACCTGTCTTTTCGCCTAGGAAACAAAAATGTGTTAGCAAATTAAATGAGGGAATGATCAAATTAAAAATTTGCCAAGTCAACATTTAACTAAAACAGTAGAGTTGTCTCAGTTTTTCTTTGTTTAGTTTTATGAAAAACAAAAAAGTCTTTTTAAAAAAACTCATCAAGGAAAATCTGACTAAAACTTAAATCCACTTCAACTATACCCTCAGTGATAAATTCATTAATTAAAATTAATTTAAGAAACAAAAAAAAACTAGAGTATAATTAACATTTTTGAGTTCATATATAAACCTGATATGAACGATTATTTTTTTAACAAAATAAATAGTAAAATAACTTTATTACAAGTATCATTTAATTCTAGTTGTCCTCACCTAAGAGAAACCTTGAAATGATGACGGTAAACATTGGTGCAGAACTCTTGATAGTCTCTGTGAAACTGACAGCAACATAGTTAAGGGCAACCAGGCCCAAAATCACAGTCATGAACCTAAAAATAAAATTTCTTATTTAGCTTCGCCTTAGATTCCAGATTTTACACGATAAAAGTAGCAACAAATAGTTTAAAAAGAAAATTAATAAATTATATAACATTCGAGAACAAATGTTTCATGCAAAAATTTAGAAGTTTCAAATTTGTTCTAGAAGTAATTATTATTTTTAAAAGTAAATTTTTTATTATAAATATAGGTTAATTTAATAGGTAATATTATAAAGTAAATTTGGAACATCTGAGCAACCTGGTGCAGCCTACAAGCAGCATGTGCTTGTAAAACCCTGGCGGCCTTGTCATCCTTTGAACTGGTTTGTACATTCCACATGGCACGTACATCTGCACAAAACCACAAAACGCCGTCATCAGCATTTGGAACGTTCCTGAAAAGACCAAATTTGCCAAATTCAACATCAAAACCTCAACTTTTATCCATATTTATACCCAAAATTGTGGGATCGCCTTTCAGGTAGGTGAGAATGTACTTGTTCAAAAACAAGGTGCATCCGCTGAAGATGTACCAGAGGAGGAGGAAAAGCAGGGCTCTGGCCGACAAAAGGCCACCCTGGGGCTGTTCGCGTCCCCCGGGAGCCCGCGACACCAGCGGCTCGTCCATGCCGCCCCCGGTCAGCCCCCGACACGTCGCAAAAGGGTAATTATTCGTACGACGGGCATCAAGAAGTGTCGTCTATTCAGCCACACAAACAAATTTCCAACAGCTGGCGGATTTCGAGCTCTGGACCAATCAGCGCCGGGCACCGGATAATGGACCAATCACAGCCTTGCACACGGGTTATTCCACTACAGGCGCCTTTCCAGACAGAAATACATTATTTTATTTAGCAGGCCGAAGGGAAACCAATTTTCATTGATTTATGTATAAATTCAAATGATTCTTTACCATTTTTGCTGCGGATTTTTAAATGAAATATTATTGATAAAAATAGTAAAAAAAAAGGAATAACATGCATAAATATTAATTAAAATCCTCTCTTTATTATTCAATTTAATTTAAATTAAAACAACTCCTTACATTATGATGAAAGTTTGATATAACCAGAAAGGACTAAAAATAGCCACAAAGTTTTAAATAGTGGAGAATAAATTAGAAAGAAATCGTGACGAGAATTGAAATAAAATTTGAAATCAAGGTTTTTTATTATTTAATGTATCTCAGCACATTTTAAATTAATTTATAGATATTTCCTATCAAATTCAACACATGACATTCCTCATAATTAAACAACACAATCATTGCTCGCATCTGACACTCCAAGTGGCAGTCGGAAGATAACAAAATTATAATTTAACCAAGTATAGACAAAACACAGCTTAATACAACTTGAGGCAAGTAGTGTAGATTCCTTGTGCAACAAAATGTGCTTTGACAGCAGAAATATTGCACGATAAGTAACTGAAAGCTAAAATTTCTAGACTGCGTGTTACAGTATGTTGTAAAAATAACTAGTTCTTTTGTGGTACGGAAATTAATTATATAAATTGTCAACAAAAGCATGGGACAATTTCAAACGCCGACTGTAAGAACACGTAACACAAAATTTATATTATAGCCAACAAATAGCACAGTTTTTCTTCCAACAATATATTATTTTAAAAATCCAGACTCCTTCACTGCTTCCAAAAGCATTTATTGATTGGCAACCATTAGAAGTTAAATTGTTTCCAAATAATTTTAACGATATTCGTGACTGCAAGCTCAACTTAAAATAAAAATCTTTGAGCCGGTTCATTAAAAAAGCAATCATATGCATATGATCCTGTTCACTGTATTTGATCACTTTTCATTAAAAATAAAAAAAAGATCACAAAAAAGTTTGCGAAAAATTGTGCTGTCTTCTACTTGATAGGTTTTTGCGGGGCTGCCGGCGCCTTGCCGTACATGCTGTCCAGGAAGAGGCCTGCGAAGACAAACAGGGTGCCCAGCCACTGTCTAGAGAGCAAAGTGTTGCCGAAAAACAGAACCGAGCCGAGAACGGTGAAGAATTTCCTCGTCGTCGTGACAATGGAGCACGGAAGGGGCCCGAATTCGCTCACGGTGAGGAAAATGAAAAACTGTCCAAGTGCGTTTGCCAGGGCGAAGGTGGAAAGTTGCCAGATGATGTCCGGGTGGCGGCCGACGAAGGCGATGAAGTCCCAGATTTCGCCGGACATCAAGACGGCGACCGAGAGGAAAGCGCAAGACCAGAAGTTCATGTTGAGCATCATGTGGCCGGATTTGGACTGGTGCTCGGCCCGCATGCGTTCCTGGATGGCGCCGGTCAGTCCGTCCATGGTGAGAGAAAGGACGAGGAGGATTTCGCCCATCCAAGAGTCGGGAACTGCCTCCGATCGTGGCTTCGAATGGTCTTTCCAGATGAACAGGGCAACGCCGACCACTATTAGCAGCACAAAGAGGTACTTCTGAAGCGGATACCTGTAAAAAATATAAATTTGTAATAAAATAATTAGGTATTTTATTTTATCCAATGCTTTAAAAAATTTAATTTAATTTTTGTTCACAAAATATTTAAAATTTACAGGCAATTTTACTAAAATAATAATCAAAAGAATGGGTAAAATTTTTAAAGCACATTTCTTTTAAAATTTATCTTTTAAATTTTTTTCTGAACTGATTTTTTTTAAAAATCCATTTAATATTTTTTTACGCTTTTAACCTTTTTCTTCCGAGCAAAACTCCAAGAATCATGACTGGGATGGGTTTGCACGACTTTCCAACCACTTGCGTCGGGTAGCTGACCCACTGGAGGGCCATGGTGCTGCAAACCATTGCCAGCAGGTAGGTGAGGGCGCTCGAACAGTAGTAGATAGTCTTGGTCGAGTCATCGCCCTGCTTTTTCTGGACAGTGGCCAGCAGAACCTGAATAAATTCATAGAAAAATCAGTAAAATTGAAATCACTATTTACAACAATGTAAATTTGAAATCATGACTTCGTCCTCATACTCGATGTTTTTTTTTTTTTTTTTTTTTTTTTTAAATTAAAACTAAAAATTCTTTTATGATTATATTAAATCAATTATATTTTGAACCTTTCATCTTTTTTACCTTGGCAAAGAGGTAGTTGAAGAAGCAGGTGGTGAGCACCAGGCTCAGGCTGTAGGTGAAGAATTCGGGCTCAGCGTCCGGCGAGCTGACGTACTTGCCCCTGGTGATTCGTTCCTGGACGACGCCGTAGTAAAAGTAGCACACGAAAATGCCGAGAGCGTAGAACAGGAGGCGCGAGTTGTCCATCTTTCGGCGGCCGAACGGAGAGCCGACCGAGAGATGCTGCCTTTGGAACGAGAAAACACCACGTCGCCCGATTCGATTCGTCTGAATCAGCGGTTCTGACTTTTCAACAAACGACGTAAACAAAACTAAAAGAGGCGTGGCTCATCGCCGGTGTCGGTATTTTTTAAATTTCTGTACCGGTTTAAACGGTATTTTACATTTGAGTTGGTGTTTTTGCCACAAATAATTACTTAATAGACTAACTTTGACATTTTATTCATTTAAAAAGTTAAAACTTGTGCTTTTATGTAAATAAACGATTGAAATTTTCAAAATAACGCAAAACATGATTTTTTAAATACCGGTTTTAGTTGCAGTTTTTTCGACATTCGAGAATTTGTTTGAAATTTGACGCCAGAACCACGTTCAATCAAAATTATTTTTTTTTGAATGAAAATTGTTAACATATTAGTGTTCTTTTTCGCATTGAGAAAATAAGGAAGGTAAATAAAATTTTTGTGATTTATCAAAATGAAATGATAGCTTTTTCACTTTATTTTTTCGCGGAACTGAAAAAATAATCATTTTGGCTTCGAGAATATATTCTACAGCAATGACACTTCATAAAATCACAATTATTTATGGAGAATATCAGGAGACTATTAATCTTATGACATATTTAAGTCCAGTCTGAGTGTGTTCCAGGCAATTTCTTTTGTTTCACAAATTTTTATTTGTGCGCGAGCTATAAAATGTGGATCCGAAGGAAGCTTTTATAAATAATATGCAAATATTTTCATACGGACAGGGTAACTTTTCTTCAATTTTCGAGCTACGAAATTTTGAATTATTTATCCTAAAGTCCAACGATTTGCGCTCCCATCCTGCCGAGATTATCAGTCAACCGGGAAATCAGTCTTCTGAAAACCGATCCAGGCAACTGAAAAATGAGAATGGGTTAGCTTTCAATTCAGTGAGGTGCGAATCAAACAAATTTCACTTATTCTCCTTAAATTAGCGACTGCACTTACGCTGATGGTGTTGGCTGTGAAAACGCTGAGAGACTCGGTGCCTCCCACAATGGCCCTGCCAACACCTCCGAGAACGTCGCCGTCATTGCCGTACTTTTCCTGCTCTTTAATTGTATCCACAATAGGCTTGGGCTAAAAGAATAAAAATTAAAAAATCAACTATCACCAAAAAATAATAACAATAATAATACCTCCAGGTAGTTATAGATCAATTTCTGGAGGCCGTTCAGACTATTGCTTCCATTTTGTGTAGCAACGTCAAAGCTTGAGATCTGGAACATTGAAAAAATTGAAAATTTTAAATATGAGGAAAACAAAAATAAACTTATACTTGTATATTTAATTTTATTTAACAAGACACGCTCCTGCACGCTCCGATAAAAAGCCTTGAGAATGATCATTCTTTAAAAAGAAACCTCAAGAATCAATGAAAAATGAAACTCACCGCATTAATTTGGTCCACCGGCCTTCCAGCAATGACGTCTATTAGGACCAAAAAAACCAGGAGGCAGGAATGAACACTTTGGCTTCTCCACATATTCGTACCGTGCAAAATCTGCAGATAAAATCATACAAGAAAAATTGTGTAACACGTTTAGATTTAATAAAGGAAATAGCGAAAGATAAAATTGCGAGAGTCATGAGAGCGTGAAATCTCGTTGTAAGGCTGACGATGATGTAATAATAATGAATTAACTGTGTGGAAAATCCTAGAGGTGCGTGTGCGCGGAGAATTCATTACACATGAATTCTGGTTTAATTTATTAATTGCATTAATTTATACTTGCGGTGTAATAAATTTTTAAGTTTGAAAATTCTGGAAATTCTCTACTTGAAAATAAAGAGGATATTTTAAATTATTAAAAAATTTTGATAATTTTTGTAAGTAGAGTAAAAATCAATTTCTTTTTAAATTTATGAAATTAAAATTTTGTTCAAATTATTGACAAATTTCGACAAATTTTGTTGTTAAATTTGGCCCAGTAATTTTGGAATAATTTTATAATTAAGCTGATCCCGCGCGCTACATTAATAAAAAAAAATATGAAATTAAAAAAATTAGGAGGTACAAGTCACCTGTTTTTGGAGAGGCTCGGGAAGAGCGGCGTTTGTTGAGGCGACGAGTAGCGCGATGAGACTGCAAATGAACGTGGACGACTGGCGTCTCGAGAAATGTGAAAGTGTTGTGCTGCGTGCTTTCTATTCACGTAACTTTGGCGGCCGACTTTTTTATTATGAGGAGGAGAACACTGTGTACATGATGCCAAGGAAATTCACTCTCACTCCTTTGAAGCTACTCGCGCCAAATCGTAATATCTACGAAGAGGACACATAAGTAAAAAATATGCGCTGAAAAAATTTGATCTATACAATAAAATAATAGTTTTTTTTTTTTTTTAATATCAAGACAGAAATCACATTTATTTATTGACCACAATATTTTCTTCTATAATTGTAAGATCGTTTTGATAATTATATTTAATATTATACATCATGATTTTTCAATATGGGAATTAACGAGAATTAAAATATCGTGTCATATCAACAAGAATATAGATCCAAATTCACAATAAAGAGAAATGGTAGAAATGTATAGCAACACTTTTTCTTATGGTTCATGCGTTCTCAGAGTATCTCAAACGCCACATTCTAAAAATACAAAAGTTTTGTGACCATAATATAATTAGCATTTTTCCTCAAGCAATAATATTGTTAAAAATAGGAGCTTTTGTTAGTAAGTTGTGCTTTAAATTGTATTGAGATCGTCGTGTTAAAGGACGTTAGTACTAAAAAGATGCTTTTGCAAATTTATTTAGTTAATTTTGTAATACAATATTCGTTTTAATGTTTATTTTTTTAAATGACAGTAATTTTAAACAAAATTTGATTGCGTTGAGCTATCCATATTTTTTATTTTTAACTTTTTAATATAACTGAATTTTATTTCAAGATAATGTATTCAAGATTTTTATATCGTTACCATTTTGGGATATGTATTTTAAATGTTCTAAAGGCCATTTTGAAGGAACAGAAAAATTAATTAGAATTACTTTCTGCGTTAAATGTATTTAAAAATTTTTAGCCATCCCGTACTTATAAATATAAATAAATTGTTTTGTCCCTTGACATTTCAGTGAAATCTCACATTCAACATCAAATACACGCGGCTAATCAATTAAATTATATTCAAAGAATCTGCATCAATTACAGTCTGAGTTTCTCATTTTCCCCTTTTTTTATTATAATTCCGTTGTGATTTTCTTTTCGCTCTCTCTCATCTCATCTAAGTACACAAATACAATAAACTCGCTACTAAACTTATTTAGGCAACAGGTAGGCCTTCCTTGTCGTTCAAAATCACAATATGCCTTTTTATTATTTTGCAGGAAGAAAATCTCTATGTCAACTTGATATTATCTAGCTCTGTGATATTGTTTTCTTCCTAAGCAATAACACACACAATCATTGAAAAGAGTGTCGTTTCCCCTCTGTATTTAATTAATTTGACTAATTTACACAGAACGTCTCTCTGAATTGCCTGGAAAGATAATAATTTCAGTATTAGGACATTGGTTAAAAGGACCCTAAGCACTAATTATTGAATTCCAGCCTTAATACTATGGACTATTTACCTAAACGCATTGATATCAAGAGGCTGAAATTTTTAATTACTTCACCTGAGACTTTAACTTTCCAAGTTTCCTTTTGACCGAAATGCTTTAAATTATTCAATAATTGTCAAACGAAGCCATCACAAATCTAGAGTATTTTTTTTTTAGAAATTCCGCTACACCTTACACATAATGATAAATTTCTGGTCTTTCCTATATTTAAAATTGTATATAGCGATGTATATTTTTCAAGCATGCATAACCCACGTAATGTTTTCTTGTGATTCAGTCTGGAAAAATGTTGCATTTTTACGGAAGAATATTTAATTAAGAAATATTTACAACGCATCTCAATTTGCGACCAAAAACTTTTCAAGTATTTCCGCCTGCATAGCAGGACTTGTCCTTATAATTTGCGTAAATAAATTTAAAACAATTTCACCGAATTTCAAAATGACAAGACTTAATTCCGCTAACAATCTACAGGCCTTAAAGATTTTCAGAGTCTATAACTTGGCTATATATTTTGTTACCCAGCAGAGGCGACAGACTTTTAGTTTGTAAATATATGAATGCATTTTCATTATGCTATTTCATAGATAAAATAATACCTAATAGTTATCTCTTTTCACTTAAAAAATACTCTCTCTTTGCTCAGCACTTTTTCATTCTCATTCCTATTTTGTGTGTATATAATGCGAGTGGTATTTTCACTGTTTTTTGTAAATGTTGAAAAGATTCGAGAGTTTTTCCACGTTGCTGTCAGACGGGTCGTCTGATGGACCTTGATCAACCGATGATTTGATTTTGCTCCAAATGACGGAGCAGCTCCGAGCAGCGCTGGTCAGAAATTTTCTGGTCCCTTGTTGCGTCTTCGAGAACTCATTTAGAATCAGAGCCTCTGTAGCCGTTTCGTCCACAGAGGCTCGCCCTTCTCACACATCCCTGCAATAAATATTTCCAAAAATTCTGATGATAAAACAATTTCCAAATGAATTACAACTCACGTTGAATCAAGGTTGGAGCAGAGATCGTTCTTTTCAGAAGTGGCCGAATTGTTTCTGGACCTGGGCGGCACAGCAGGTGGCGGTCCTGCCAGTGAGCACTCGGTCCTGCGAGGAGGTTGAGTTATTGCTGGCATTGCTTCTGGTTCAAGGGGTTGCGTTTCAGGATATGGCTCGTTTTCAGAGAAATTTGCAGCACCTTGAATCACCTAAAAAATTAGATTTTATTATAAATATTGAAATTTGCATAATCAAAATTTGGTTATACCTCTAAATTAAAAGCTTCCACAATATCCTCAACTGTAGAAAAAAGGTGGACATCACCCTCAGAGACGCCTAATTCGTCTTCCACCGCCTTCAATAGTGGAGTTGCTGGACACACTAAACATTGAAATATAATTTAAATAAAGAAAATAATTTAAAATAAGAAATTTGAGTGACTTTATAATACCTTTGAGGGCTGGAAGAGCTGGAGACGGTGGTTCTGCTGGCGGTGTAGTTTTTATCTCGAGGATTTCGTTTTGGTACAGCATGGCCTGGCTGCCAGTGCTGCTCGAAACGCCACTCGAGCTCTGCACACTGTCCGCACTAATGCCTGCGTTTCTGGCGCAAGAGCCCAAAGGCTGCATCCCAGCAGAACCGGCGCCGCAATTCCAAGAGAGTCTTTTGTGAATGCTCGTGTCCTTAATTACCAATTTCTAGAATTGAGAAAAAGGGAAAAAAAATTAAAGTTTTGTTAAAATCACAAAATATAAAAATAACCCAATGAAAAAAATAAAATTTTGAACTGATTTCCTTATTGAGCTCACCTTTGGAGGATCCAAACTGAATTGCTGGCGTGACAAATTTTTTATTTTTTCAATCTTAGATTATTCCCATATTGGAAGATTTAGTGTCATTTCACAAAAATGGTCACAACACTACATTTAATAATAATTATGAAGATTCTTAGTATTCTTACCTTAAGGTCGTCTATGACTCCCGCCGTGTGGTATCTTCGGACGTCAGACCCTCGGACTTGGCGTTTGGAATTTATAACCTGCCTGTACGCTCGAGCCCCTGGGCTTTCCTCTTCACTTTTCAAGTATGAGCTGCTGCATGACTCTTTTGGAGGTGGAATTTCTGAAATTTTAATCACAAATTACTTCAAAGCATTTTCTAATATTTCAATATAATACCTGCAATTTGTGGGACGTCGACACTGCCTTCCGCCTCATTAGCCGACCGGACACCAAGGACGTGTCTGCTCTTCAAGAGGGGTGGGTTTCGAGACTGGGGTACTGCGTAACTTCGGCGGAGGGCCCTTGGTGAGGGTGGTGGATACGAGACGCCCCTCTGAGGTGAGAGACCTTTGCCAGTTGGCACAGACAGCAAACTGTTTGTGCCTTGCTGGGGAAGGGTCACTGGACTCATTAGTCCTGACGAGGGACTCTCTGAAAGGCTAAGATTTGGTAACGACTGGCCACCACCATGCCGAAGATGATGCACACCCAGCATGTTTGGAGAGCGCATTGGTGAACGCCTAAAATTATAATTAAATATTTCATTATAAATTTTTTCTAAATTTTTCAAAAAAATTTAATTATATTTTGTTTGACTAACTTTTCAATTCGGGGTGAAGGTGAGGTAGCGTGGGGAGGAGTAAATGTTAATTTCAGCTCTCCTCCGGAGGAGCCTTCATCTGAGCTGAGGCTGGAACCTCTTCCACCAGCCTCCATTTCCAAACTTACTCCTCTACTGTGGTTAAAGCTCGAAGCATCAGTAATTTCCATAGACTCGCTGAAAAGAATAAAAACAATAAATTTATACAGAGATTGTTTCTATTTCCAGCAAAATTGCTGATGCTGGAAATAAGTTATATTGAGTAAAAAAGTTGCAATAAATTTCAATCTCACTATCTTATATACCTCTGCGAGTGGTTGAGACTGAGCATTCGTGATGAGCTCTGGCTTCGGGAAGAAAACGCCAGATAATGGTTCACATCTTCAATGCCGTCGTCAGTCATGTCAGGGTGCATCATTCCTGCGGCCAGGGCGGCCGCCGTTTCTGCCGCTTTGGCCGCACTCTTGGCCTGCTTGTAGGCGTGCTGCGTTTTTCTTATTTTCTCTGCCCAGACCTGGTAATTGAAAATAATTAAATTTTCGGAATTTTTTTAAGCTTTTGAAGAAGAAAACAAAAAACAATTGAAATATTTGGGTCGAGGTCATTAAAAAATCCTCCATTAGGATCATTTTTAATGCTGTTATAAATATAAAAAAAAAACGTGTTAAAAGCAAGCTCTTGCATACAGCAAAGCAATTAGAACTACTGCAAAGCGTTCTCGGCACTTTGCCTCTTTCTTATATACCTTGATGTTTGTCGCTTTGTCGTTGGAAAAGAGGGTGAAAGCGGCGACGGCGGTTTGGTACTCATTGAGGTAAACCACCCCCAAGCCAGGCTGCGAATCTCGCACAATTTCCACCATCTGCAGACGATCCACGACGAACGGCTGCCGCACCACTTTGTAATTTTCCGGCTGTTTTTTGCCGGCGTTTGTCACTTTGCACAGCAGAAGAATGTCTGTGAACAGCAGACCGTGCACTTCCGTCTGCGGGAAAAGTTTGCACAGATTATGAAACGCTTGTCGTGGGAATTTTTTTTGCAATAATAAATTATCATATTTAAAAATTAAAACAAAAATAATAATACAAAAGATATTTCACAAGAATTATGGAAATTTGAAATAAAACGTATGAAAAAATTATCCAAATAATTTTTATAATCAGGAAAATTTAATAAATCAGACTGTTCTTTCTTTTAATTACTCCTATGAAATTAAATGAATACAAAAATAATTGACTGACCTTGACGACTTTGGACTTGGCGTGCTCCTTTAGGATGAGGCCGCCCTCGAAGAGGAGCTGTCGGAATTGACTAGAGGTGCAGCCGGGCATTGGCGTGTTGAGGTTGAGATCGCTGTGCGCCTTCACCAACTTTTCCAAGTCTTCGTCCTTGATTTCCTGCTTGAATGCGTGAGATAAGCACCTTTGCCGAGTAATGTGACGGCGACAAAAGCGCCGTTTTAATTAATCAACTTTTCTTACCATGACCTCGTAGCTGTTGACCCTGGCAGCAATCAGACGTAGCTTTTCCTCGTCTTGTTGCATTCTAAGGGAAGTGTTGACACTGCTCACAAAGTGGTCCACGTGCTTGATCTGCATAGTAGCAAAAAAAAGAGAGGCAAAGATGGTTACAATGGAGGAAAACAGTGGAAAAAAGACAAGAATTTTTTTGAATTAATTAGTTTTCTCTTTTTTATGGAGAAGAAGTTGATAAAAGATTATAATTTATAAATTAATCAATTACTAGAGTCGCTTCTTAATTAGAACAATATTGTTTTCAATTATGTATAGAATTCAATAGTAAATAAAAAAAACTGTATAATGTAATAACTTCTAATATAATAACTTCTCTTGAGTTATAGTTTTTTTTAATACACTAAACAGCCATGATATGTATACTTTTTGTTCATTCTAGAAATTTGCCTTTTATTGATTTTGTGAAAAGTTAACAAAATAAAAATGTCTTGCTAACAATTTATGCAACCTGCCCATCATCACTGTAACGCGGTATGCATAACCACAAAAATCAAGTCTTTCATTATTTCTAAAGCTGTCCAAATTATATTTTGCTGTTAAAGTTTCAAAGTTCAAAGACTAAACGAATGCACGGGCGTTGAGGAAATTGAAATTTCAATGCCTCCGTTGCTAAAAGCGAAGGAGGTCTTGAAAGGCTCAAGGTAAACACAAGAGGGCCAGAGGGCAAATATTTGTCAAGGTTGAATTACCATAAGTAGCAGGTCCATCCTCTGGTCGGTGTCGTCGGTGTTTTTGAGGATGGCCTTCAGCAGGAGAGAGTACTTGGTGAGCCGCTGCATGGGTTTTACCAGGATGTCCAGCAGCCGAAGCCTTTTGCATTCACGCTGAGCCTCGCACCACTGCAAATTGACGATAAATAATAAACATAAAAATGTAGATAATAAAAAATAATAACTTTCTGATAAATATTAGAACTTACAAATTTAGTCCTAATATAAACTAATTAAAAAATAAAAACTTGTGTCTTCAATTTTGACTATTTCAGCCAGAAAATCTATTCACATTTTCCATGACTGGAAAGCCGTGACGTACTATTTGCATATTTCAAGAATCAGAGCATCAAGAGAGCGGCTCTAACTATCTGTCAGATTTGAAATTCTCAAGTTAAAGCTCACTCACTGCCAAGTAGGCCATGAATAATTCGCTGGTTTGCATGTTCTCCCGGCAGTACTGCTGGCACTGGTCCTGTTGATCCGAGCAATATCGAGTGTACGGCGCGAAGAGCTCGTCGAACTGTAAAATGCAAGACGCACGTCTGATCAATATTTATTCCCTGCGCCTCTCTGACTGTGTGTATTTCTGTGTATATGCCAGGAAGACCGGGTTTGGCATGCAGAAACACACACGGCCTACTATTTCATTCAGGGTCGGAGGCGGCGGAGCGAAAATTGCAACATTTATTGGATTTGGCTGGATTTAGATTGTAGGAAAATGCCCAGGAGAATTTTCCGTATTGTCATTTTCTCTAATCAATAAATTAAAAATGTAGAAAAAATATACTGAAATAGGCAAATGTTCTATGGAATTACAGAATTCATTGTAGAGTTCACAAATTTTATTTTAATTTTAGAAAATTCTTGAAGTAAAATAATTTTATGAAAAATAAATCCTATAATGTCATAGAAATTTCTGAGCTTTTTTTAAACTTACTTATCTCTTGAAATATTAGAGAAAAACATTAAAAAAAACGTAATTTCTCAAATTTTCCTTTCATTGCAAGGGAAATAAAATAAAATTTAATAATCTAAAAAAATTCAATACCTTTAAAAATCCTGGCAGCATGAGACTGGGGTTCAAAAGTTGTTTGGTGGCTCTGCTCCTGTCCACCATTGGTTGGATGTGGTTGAGCCAGAAGCTGACGTTGACCAGGTAAATGTCACTAATGTTGCTGAACAGACGGCTCGGGTCGACGTGTTCGAGCAGATTCTCCGCTTGCAGGTGTCTAAGGCAGGCGATGAACAGCTGGAAAAAAATTAATCCCAAAGTCAATTTTATTTTGATTATCCGCCTGACAATGAGAGTTTGAGATTAAAACTCCGCTTTATTTGGATAAACTTTCTTTCCTGCGCCAAAACTTTTCGTCTTCGGCAGGGAATAAAAAACCGTCTTTTGTGTTTGAGTGATTTACGAGCGGCGGATTTTAATTCGCCCACCGCGGCGGGTACAGCGAGCCGCCGGCGGAATGATAAGTTTGGAGCTCCACATATGGGTTTCACACTACTCACGTCTCGAACGACGCCTAAGATATGGATGTAGGAGAGCTCAGTCTGCACCAGCTCCCATATTGCCGTCTGTTGCTGCACGATTTTTTCGCTCAGTTCCTCACAGCCGTGCACCAGTTCGCGCCAGTCATCCTCCATATCGTACAAGTTTAAAAAGAATCCTGTGAAAAAATCCGTAGAAAAAAATGGACAAATGTTTTATTGGAGATTGATCGTGAAACTTTTGAGAGATAGAGAAATAATGAGAGTAAAAATATGGTTGATTTCTTTCAATTCTTAATCGTTTTCAAATATAATTAGTTTGATTGAAAAAATTGAAAGACCAGGATATCGAAATCTTATTTAAGGCTTTAACAAAAGTAAATAATTTGCAAAATTTTAATCGTGAAATTTTAAGACAAAAAAGATTTTCGTTTTAAAAATTTAATATTTTTACTTTTTTAGTACATTATGAAAATAGTTAAAGCAAACTTACTATCATGATCACAGGTAGAAGAGGACATGGACGAAGGCACAGAACAAGATTTGTTGACGTAACCAAATCTGCTAAAAATATTAAGCTGATCCACCAGCAGGTCCATGCTTTTGGTTTCTAGTTGCTGTTGCTGAAAAGTGTGATCCTTGGAAAAGTGTCTCATTTATGAAAATTCCTCCTACCTTTGTGGCACCGAATATAGAACTCCATGGCTGTTTGGACGATGACTGCTTGGACAGTTTGAATTCAAAGTGGCCGTGCTGATCTGCGGCAGAGGGCGCGTCCTCGGTGCTGGCGCTGAAAAAGCCGCGCGACCCTTTGCCCTTATAACTCTGCAAAATAAATTTCACTTTATAGTTAAATCTTTGATAAAAAAAAAAAAAAAAATATGATATAAGGTTTTTTTTAAAAGAATTGAAAATGAAAAATTTATTAAAAATAATTTAGATTACCTCTAAAGCAATAATTAATTTTTAAAATTACTCACCCCTCCCGATGTTTTTCTTGATGATGGTTGACTGGCAGTTGATGAATTTCTGGCTAGTCTTGTGGGCCCACTTCCTTTAGCTAAAATAAAAAATTTAAAGAAATATCATTCATTATTTTCATAGCAGATGTTTCAACTGTTATTTTTATTTCTTTCAAACATCCATAATTGGACATTTCCATTACCACAAATTAAAAGGTGTTTTCCACCAAGGCTGAGGGTGTCTACGGCGGAAATATGTAGTGGCTTCCTGTTTGTGTCAAGAAAGACATCCATCGAGTTGATCTCCAATTTTCGCCGATCACATGCTTCGCCCAAAGCATCGCTGCAAAATACCAAGGACAACTTTTTCATTGCAAAGAAAAGGCAAAAAGTTTGGATCAATCTGCGAGCGCAGGAGAGATGTCGTAATTACTTTTTTACAATGACCCCGTTCCCTCGATTTATCTCTGCCCTGCCCTCATTTCGTTTCGCAATTTCACTTGTGTGCACCGCGTTGAATAAATATTCAATATAACTTCTTCACCGGTTAAAGAGCAATTCAAATATATAACCGAGCCGTACGTTTTCTCCCCCCTGTGAGAGCCGCAAGCTTCCTTGGCACCTTTCAAAATTTTCATTTGCGGGGAAATTGCACTTAAAAGGGTTTATACGTGAGACTGGCAATAAAAGCTCCTAAGACGAGAGGAAGAAGGGGTCGAGTTACACGGAGAAAATTGCGAAGCGGAGTAAAATTTCTGGAATGAGAGCCCCTGCTGGATTCAAGGAAGAAGCATGAGTGCGGTTCTGAGGCTTAATATTAATTAAGAAATAACTTTTCACTAAAGATTTGCACAGCACTCGATCAAATTGTGATTTCCTGCTAATCAACTCTGAATTTCTTTTTGCAGCATCTTAAGTACAATATAAAGTATAGTAAAATATTGAATTTTTTTACCTCAAATAAATGTATAAATTGAATGGAAATTTTTTACCACAAGCTACTGAATTCCAAAAAATATTAAATTTAATATGGGATTATTGAAGTAAAATGGATACAGATAGATAATAAAATATGCACAACGATTTTCTTTTAATTGAAGGCATGAAATAACCTAAGACTTCAAAGGACTTAATGGAAATAAGTTGATAAGAAAAATATGATTCTCATCTACGCTCTCTTCTTTTTAGTTAAATTCATATATTAACTAATTTTAATTCAATCTAAAATTAGATTTAGCAATAGGATTGGACCGTTCTTCAGGAACTTCTCAATATCTTCATTAAAAAAAAGCATTAAAACGTATCCTTAAAAATACTCATCCAAAACAAATAATACTGATTTTGCTGCGCAGAACTTTTTCAACTTCAATTTTCAGCTTCGCAAAATTCCCACTCAAGAAAGTAATAATAATAAAACGAGCTGTATATCTACGTAAACTAATTTATCCTCCACTATAGGAAGACCCAAAAAAGCTTCCGGTGGAATTGCGCAGCAAACAAGCTTGTGTTGCGTTTCGCGAAGAAAATGCAAACGCGTTTTGTCCTAGCGTTGAGGTTCGCAATTGCGGATGAACAGCGGCAGTGAAAGTGAGGCGCGCAGATTGAAGTGGCAGCTTTCGCTATTGTTCCGTGCAATATCACTTTTATGGGTTTAGTCCCCGCAGAGTGCGCCATTTCGCAGCCCTCGATACTTTTCGGAGGAAGGGCATTGTGCAGCCGCGAACAATGTGCGTCGTTTCGCCGACTGATGCATAATATATTTTTAAGACGATGAAATCGCGAGTCTATCGGGAGGTGCCCAGCGAGAGGTCTTTGAACCTTCGGTGACGAATAGCCCGTCCGAGAATCACGCAATCCATTATGTGTTGGCTGATGCAAGAGCAGATGTTTTTATATTATTCCACGGGGTGCTCACTTTTCTAGGCTCTCTGCATTTGATTGGCCAATTTATTTAGTCTCTTAGGAGTTTCGATGTCCCGCAAAAGAAAAACTTTCGAAAAATCAGAATTTATTTTTGCATAGTTTCTCAGGTATTCTCATTTTCTGTGTTCAAAATTTGGAATAATTTTTAAAAAATGTTTAATTGCTCAGTAATGATCTACCATGATTGAGTTTCCAAGAAATAAAACCTAGAAAAAAAATTATTATAAAATGACTTGAATTTTAAATTAAATTAATTACATATATCACACTTTCAAATTTAAGTTTCAGAAAAAAATAATTTAAATTTAAAAAAAATTCTTATAAATCGTACTATTCTAATACAGACCATCTATCTGCGTTCTCCAAAAATTTAGTAACAAAAGACTTATTTGAAAAATATTACATCGTTAATCAAAGTGGAACCAATTAACTAGCACTTTTGATTTTTTCATTCTTCTCCTTTGGTTTTAAAACACCGAATGAAGAGGGAAAATTTGGCCAAAGATGAACAGGCCCGTCAAGCGTGCCATAAAAGACGAAAATTGATCGTTTTACGCAAAAAGAAAAAGGCTTTAGGGGGTGTCGGAGCGCGAAACAATGCGAGGCGTGTCGAGAGCAACTTAATTGAGAGTGATGAAGAATCGAGCGAGCGCTCTGTCTTGTTGCAACTTAATGACCCGCGCGTTTCATTAAAGAAGACGCGTTAGCATCTTGCCATCAATTTGCTGAGGCGCCAAAGTTTGCAGAAGAGATGAGAGGGACCAGCGCACAACAGCAGGAGGGACGCCAAAAAAAGAGCGTAAAACTGAGACCGTGCTTTAACGTTTAAACCGTTGAAGTTAGTGTGCAATATAGTCATTATAATATAATAAAACCTTCCATATTTACGTCGAGCGCTGAAAAAAATAAAATCTTTAGATAGACCTCAATTTTGTAAACGTTAAAATGATTTTTTTACTTTTGGAAAAGGATAAATGCTGTATTTCATCTTACCCGTCAGTTTCCGAACCGCAAATGTTTTGTGAAAAGGTTCAAATTCCTTTTGTAAATTTGTTTATTTTAGTGCCAAGTCAATATTTTGAATTTATTTTTATCGTCACGGATGATGTAGTATTTTTGGTATTTTTCAACAACACGGCAAAACTTGTTGCGTTTTCACTTGAAATCTTCTGCCCCCGCGACTTGAGTTTGACAAAAGTTTGCGAACAAAAAAAGCGGCTGCGTAAAACTCGCGAATGCAAAAGCCGTTTAAGCACTTGGAAGAGACGCTCGGGACGGGGAAAAGCAATAAAAAACTCACACGAGCAGAACTCCCTTGGAGGCAGGGATGAATTCGGTGCGCAGGTTTTCGTCCACCTCTACGCCTTCAAAGCTGATGCTGAAAAACTCAGAGCTGGAAACCTGAAACAAAAAGAAGAAGAGTATTAGTTTGAAAATCGATTCACTTGATTCAAGGAATTAAAGAAAATAAATTATGTATGATAAAAAATAAAATAATTTAATAATTTAATTTTTTAACTAGCATTATGTCTACATTTTCAATAACTCAAAATTCACTTCAAACTTTATTTTAATTATATTAAAATATTTGTTATTTATTGACAGATGTCAAATATTTTAATTTCATAATATTGCCAATTATAAGACTGGACTTTTTGATACTTAATTGTGTTTTTTATTGGTTTTAGTTACAGAAAAAAAACCAATCCTTTTGTACTGTTTCTTTTGGCTGTGGGCTGCAGATATATTTCATGAGGTGTAATTTATTTGTTAGATCGCAGTCAAAACAACATGAAGATTGCTATATATTGTTTTCCGGTAACTAAAATCCGGCAGAAAACATGATACTATCATATAACTCTGCGAGCATTCGTTCAAAACCTACCTCAAACCTCAAACTGAAGCGTAAACACCTTTGTGATAAATCAATAAACATTCCCGAACATATCATATTCATCACAAATTTTTAATAATTAATTTTCTTTAGCTAAAAAATATTTTTTTAAATTTAATCTTAAATTAAAACAATCGAGTAAATATTGTCTTGAAACTATTCAAACATTTTCACTGTAGAAACCTGTTTTTTTTTATACTTTGTTTAAGATTGGCCCAGAGTTCTCCAGTCTAAGCTGGAATCTGCCGATAAAGCTAATTTCCTTTTTTGAAAGTTGATAGGGTACGATTTCGGGCTATCACGGACGCATTAGGATTCACCAGGCAACTCTGGCGGTGCAAAAAAAACCGGCCAGCAGCAAAATCAGCTTTCGCTCCTCCCACTCTTTGTGCCACATCGCAGCCTCGAGCGATCGCACGCCGCGGATTGTGTGGATGATGGTATGCAACCGGCACGACCGAGATGACACACGAGTTGCATATCTAATTCGCTCGGCAGGGGCTTTTAGCAGAGCCAGTGTGAAGCGCGCAGCCGAGATTCCGGTCCCCGGCCGGGTGGAAATTGAGCTCTTTTTACTTTTCCTCACTCACGCGCCACTCGCCAGGCTGATTGTGCGATTATTAAATTGGCTTCCATTCCAGGCGCCGGTTCATTGGCGGGTTAATTCAGTTACAGCTTGTTAGCTCCGCGGCAGACCTCTGGCTTTTTCTGTCCACCCAGTTAAATTTCCGTGACACGATTATAACCAGTGGCGCGTGAAAACGGTCAGTTTATTGAGATTGATGAGGGCAACGAATTCAATTGAAAAGGGACAGTTTCGATCAGCATTTAATTTTAATATTGACAGAAAATGCAATTCAGTTTTTTCTACAAATAACTCTTTTGACTGCAAATGAGCGATGGCAATTTAGGAATTTAAGATTGTATCAAATTGAGGAAAAGTTCACTTTGTTTATAAACTTCCATTTCTTTTCATTTGCTATAAAAGAATAAAAAAAGCTTAATATAGAGCTACAGCTTGTTCAAATTAAAAAAAAAATATATATATAAAAAAATACAAATTTTGTGTTCTTTTACAAACAAATTTCTATTACAATTTATTTTTGATGTATTTTATTTCTAAATTTTTTTTTAATTAATTAGCAAAAATATATTTCCAATGATATAATATCAAATGAAATTTGTTAATAGCGAGAACTTGTCACATTGGTAAACTAGAAACTTGTGAATGTACCAGATATGCAACACATCGTACTAATTACTCCTCTATGTGTTTACATTCATTGCGCAATAATATCTATCTGACTGTGCCACATTTGAAGCGATGCACAAAGCGGGTGAGTTGCAGCGTCCTGGAAATCGTACCCCCTGCTAATTTGTAGCTTGCGCCAGCGGCAGTCAATAGCAGAAATGGAGGCAGAGAGAAACGGACGCGATTGACCGGAGCCTGTTTTATATCACGGGCAGCGATGGTAATAAATTTCGCTCTTTGGCAGAGTGACGCGACCGACAGAGACGGATCTCGTGCGAGTGGGAATAATGAATGTATGCAACCAGAGGCGAAAAAGTCGTTGGGTTCGGTGGAAAGTTTGTCAGGCGACGGTCTAATTTCGGCCAAACGACGTTGATGGATCATTGAAAGTCTCAGTAAAAAAGTTGGTTTCTGGTGTAGTAAAAAAAACTCTTTTCACCGCCACAAAATTTCATTTTGACACGAAAAAAATTGGAAAAAATATTCTTAAAAAATGTTTTGGAATTTTAATATTATAGATTTGTATGCTAAGTAAGCTAAACTTGATTACATAAGCTCGCTGAAGGCATAGGAAATAAAATATAAAATTTATATAATAAATTATATAAAAATGGACCATTTGACAGCCGTATCTGGCCAATAATATAATATTAAGCTAAATATGGCACTTAATTTCATACAAAAATTAAATCTTTCAATCTAGACGGTAAAATAATGTGTAGAATTCACCACATCAGTTACGTCAGTCCTCCGCAAAAACAAGAGAACATGAGTGGTCGTTCGTTTACTTTTGGCTCTCTCTCGCCGCACCGTCCCTCGCCTTTTCAGCACACTGACATTTCACTCACGTCAAGGGAGATCAACAATCCGGGAGCTCTTTTTGCAGTTCGCACGTCCGATTTGAGAGCGTGTAATGCGAAATACTTGCTCAACCAACATTCGCTCTAGTATTTTTGTTCACAACGCAGATAAAGATTTCTGTATGTTGCACTCAGAAAGTGGAAAATTGATATATTTTATGGATTGCTTTATTTTATTTTATAGTGTTGGATTTATTGAATACAAAACCCCAAAAATATAAATAAATAGATTAGGCGTACCCTTCAACACACAAAAACCCGAGCATGTTGCAAATCGCATTTACACAAAATTAAAAAGGCAATTACACACAATAAAAATGGCGTTTGGAATTATTGGAACCACTTAATTTCCACCACCATCTGAGCGCAAAAAAGAACAAAAAATCGTCTAGATGCAATGCATAAAAATACCAAGATACAATGAACCACTCACCACCAGAAAAAACACAATACAGAACGCATTTTTACACGAAATTGAAGACAACTAAAAAAATATAAATTGACTAATTTTACCACTTCATTAGGAAAATTTCCAACAAGACAGAGCAAAAAGAAAACACAAAAACCACCGCCTTAGGCAATGCATAAAAGAACACCAAAACGTAAAATGCATTACTCACCAACAGAAAGAAAAGAGCACTAAAAGCCAAGCAGCTGTAAACGCACTCACTAAAAATAATATTTAACCGTATTATGCGGATGGGGACGGAAAGAATCGCGAATAATTTTATAATTTACTATTAAACACAAGAAAAACACACAAAAAAGCATCGATAATAAATGAAACACCATTTTGAGGGAGCGTAAAAACACTGTAACTGCAGACAATCAGCTGTAGGAAAAACGCCCACTAACAGCCATAGTGATAAGAAAACCGCGTAAATAAACCGGTAAAAATGTAATTTATAATATTGAATGTATGGATGATGCATTTGGGCAGAGAATGCCCGGTGGTACATTAATAAACACAATTTGTAACTAAAAACCGGTAGCAACCAGCCAAATACATATGCAGTAGTGCCAGTCCAAAAAAAGTCTGGAATATTGCAGATTTTACAAAGACTATACAAAATTTAAAATTTCATCAACTTCATTACCAGCTTAGGTTTGCTTAATATATATTTTCAAATTAATGCATGAATCATCAAATATGTCATAAGGCTAGAACGCTGTTTCCAGTACAACTGTGTGACAATTGTGAAGAGCGGCTCGCCGCAGAGTTTAATGCGGCCTGAGTTCGCATTTAATTGGCAACAAACGTGAGTGAATAGCGTTAATAACGTGTTTGTGAACGTGGAGGGTGCCGTCGATATCGCAGCGGCAGCGACCCATGATGGTAATGCGATTAAGCGAGAGGCGAATTTGCACACTCGACTGGCTGAAGCTGCAGAGCTCTGCGATTATTTGCTCGGCAGTCAACATTAACGCACACAAGGGGACGACATTATTATTATGTTGATTCGCCGGGTAAGAGGGAAACGGCCATAGGGATGCTCGCTCGCTCGCACTCGATCGGAAAATTCCAATTGCGAAAATAACATTTATAATATGCAGCTTTTCCACAAAAGCGGCGGCGGCGAAAAGGGAAAATTCCATTCAGCCGCAGGATAAGGGGATGAGGGGAAGGGAGGAGAAGCTTGCTGAAGCTGAGGGAGTTCAGCTTCGAAAAAGAGATTTAAGAAATACGAGTATGGTGAAAAGATAACCATGAGGTTAATTTTGAAAGGCCAAATGTCAGCGTATGAATTCATTTGCTCCGGAGTTAATTCCTCTCACGTTCTTGTTTCAATCTCCTCATCGTCATGTAAAGGTCAGATGTTAAATGCACTCAGCAGTATTGAGTTTTACTCTTGAATTTGCAAATTTTCACGACAGGCATCAAAATCACACTCAAATAGGGTTTATTGAATGCTCACTTTTTCAACCAAAAATATGTGAATCGTCAGGAAGGTCCTTCTTGATTTCAAAACCACTAAATTTGATCAATTAAGTAACTGATTCCAAAAATTTATATCAAAATTTCTTTAAATTTTCAGATATTATTCTTTTGTAACTTACAATGAACCTACATTTCATCCCCTAATTGATGGCAATTTTGAAGACAGTTAAAAATTGTATGTTCTTTTAAATTAATTAATTGTATTGACCGAGAAGAATAAATAATAATAATTAAAAATTATTTCTGAGGAAGCGTTTTATTTAAAAGTTAAACGAAAAATTATTAAAAATAAGGCTTTATATTTAATATAATAAGTTAAACTGCCTCGCAAACTTCTAAATCATACTCAAATTCGAAAAGAAAAAAATGGTGGATAGCATTAATTTGAGTAGGTCTTCAACTATCGCACCTCAAGAACTTTGAGTCAAGAGAGGCCCTAATGAAGTTTGCTTTAAGGCTCTTATGTGGAGAGTTTGAACCTATAGGCGGTCTTAAGTTTTAACTGAATGCTGTGGTGACTAAAATTAGCATATTATTGGCTAACATAGAAAATTTGAATGCAAATTTTTTTACTTTAGAATTTCGTCAAATATATAATTTGGCAGTATTTTATATTATTTCTATGAAATGTAAAATTTTGCGTTTTGTAATGAAATTTAACTATATTTTGGATTAAATAAATATTAATTATTAAAATTTATTATTTCTCCTGTTTACTACGAACATGAAAGCATTTGAATTCTTGATGATGTGAGACAAAAATTTGAAAGGAAACTAAAAAAAATCCATTTAGTATTTTGATCAGCTTGAAAGATTCTTGCACAACCTGCAAATCGATTGAAGAACTTCCGAGACATGCGGTTTTCAAAACAAATTACCAAACACCGAGTAATATTGAGGGTGAAAAAAAAGTTTTTTCCTAATTAAACGCGCCGCTGTTATTCAATGGCGTCCTTGGCCACATAAACAAACCCTCCTCGGCGAGTTGCTTGCGCTGCGGTCGGGACTCTAGACGGGGGTGGTGTGCAGGACGGCCTACTTATGCTCGCCCGAATGAGGGCAAACACAATCAGGAAAACCGCAACCGAGCAGGGGGACCGGGGCTTAATTCCGAAGGGATTTCCTCGGTCGTTCCCCAATTTCGGGACGCCAAGCAGCACTTTATGTATTGTATTGTATTGAAATCAACTTTCGCCGCAAGCTAGAGTGGAATCACCCCCTAGTGGCTTGCAAGGAAATTTATTTTTTGCGTGCCGAGGGAATCTGAAGGTTCTCAGTCAGTGAATCTGATCAACTCTGCATGTTTGTTAGTTTTGTTTTTATTTCATTGGATTATAGTTTTCCCATTTGCAAAGCCTGTCCTAAGAATCACAATTATTCAGTGGAAGTTGCATTAAACTTTTTCCATTTCTCCATTATTTTATTACGAGTGCATCGGCTTATTTGAAAGTACAATCTCTTTTTGTTGAAAAAGTTACACAACTAAAAATCCCCCCCCCCCCCCCCCCGTTAGAAAAATTTGAAGATAATCAAATAATTTACAGTCTTTCCAATTTTTTTTGCGCAGGCCGGAATTTTTCAAATTCCTTTTCTAATAACAAATCAATTACTGAAATGAATCCAAATTTGGCTAATTTAATCAAAGATGTTTTAGATCATCTGCTGCTGGTTTAATTTCACCGTTAGTTGGATTAGTACGGTTTTAGCTGAAACTGAATCTGGGTTTCTTAAATTAAATGCATAAATTTAATAATTTTGCTTCCAACATTTCAGCTGGGTGAAAATTTGTGAAGCTGATTTTAAAATGAAACAAATTACGTAATGATAATACAACTATTAAAATTAAATAATTAAAACTGAACAAAGAGTTTTTAAATTTTATGGAAATTTCATAAATTTTTTTTATAATTTTAATAGTTGATGAGCTTCAATTCTAATTTATTTTTTTATATTTTGCAATAGTTTTAGCATTATAATATTGTTAAGATATTAAATAGCATAATTTCATTAAAAAATTAACAAATAATTTTAGATTAAAATTAAATATTTTATGCGAGGACAGGTCTCTTTGTTTAAACCCAGATTCAGCTAAAAACGTGCTAATCCGACTCCCAAGCTCAATAAAATGCTGACTTGATTATCATCTAAAGCCTGATTTTGTGCTTTTCACGCTGACGGATATTGGAGAGCGACAGTCTTTTCATTCTCAGCAAAAGTCACCGATGCGGAGCCGATTCACTTAGTCGGGCGAAACATGGTACAAACGCGTGCCAAGATCTTACCGGGGTAATGTCAAAATCGATGCGCGTCGATTTGAGTGCAGAGTGAGGCCTTCAAGGGTGACTAGTTTCCTCGACCGAAACAACAGTTGGTTAGATTTTTGTTACAAATATACAATCTGAGAGCAGAAGACAAAACTATTTACGAACGCACAAATGCGCAAACCAATTAATTCGCCGGATCTGCTCTCTCGCGTATCCGCTTAAACGGAATTCGTCGAGCTCGATTGCCGAAGCGGCAAATGTACATAAATGCTCGACGGCGATCCAGTTTAATTATCCGCCTCAGCAGCCATCGATTGGACCGCCGGCTTGTTTCCCTCGTTCTGCTGATGGGGCACCATCCCTGCCATGTTCTCAAGTAGCTACTCCGCCGATGCGCGCCTCGACAAGTTCATTTCCTCGTGATTATTATAAAAAAAAATGAGGATGACAGACAGAGGGGGCGATAAATCGCGATAAGACTAAAAAAAGATGTCGCGACACTTTCGCGTATGATTATTTAAAAACTCTAGCTTTACATTTTTTAAATATAAAAAGTGTAATATGAAATTAATATGTACAGAATTATTAATAATATTCAAGATCATTTTTTTTTATAAAAATAATTTCTGCTTATTTTGTTGTATTGAGTCCTAGCTCCTAATTTTCAATCGTCAGTCTCATATTAATGATAAAAATACTAAAATTATGTTTCATTTTCTTCAATATCAAAATTTTCCCATAAAAATTAACACCAATTGTTTGCAACATTAACGAAAATTGGCACTAAATATAAAAGTTAAAATTGAAGTGTTAATGAAATCCATAATTTAAAAAAAAAAAAAAATTGTAAAGTATTAAAAAAAAATTAGGGAAAAACAATGGATGTCATTTTGAATTTTGAAATAATGAAAAGATCCTCTTTTTATGATTAATTTTGGTGTTAATAAATGCAGACTTTTTCAACACTTTAGGGCTAAATTTCATCATAAAAATGAAGTAAACACTTCTCAATATTAAATTTATTTAAAATTTAAACCCAATTTTTTAGAGATTCAACTTATTTCCCCCGAAATTTCAGTGCCAATTTTATTGAGGAGGATACTTTTGTAGTCGAAACTGGTCCTACCTGCGACCTTGCCAGGGTGCGCCTCCTGTCTCTGGAGGCGTCGGTCGAGGGGACGAGGAGGCGCTGCCGCGTCAGGTCCATGCCAAAGTCGTCCATGCCCGAGGGCTGCCTCAGCAGGGCGGCGGCCGCCTCGAGGGCGTCTGCCTGGAAGTCTCGGGCGGGGGTGGCGCAGGGTGAGGCGTCGGTCGAAGGGACGGCGGCGGTGCCTCCAGCGCTGCGTGACCCCGCCTCGCCCACGCGCGCGCCATCCAACGCGTCCAGGTGCGTCAGCGACCGCGAACGAGCCTGCAACACACAAAGTTCAAATGTTACCAATTTTTTTGAAGAAAGAAATCTGAAGAAATTGTATCATAAATATTATTCTAAATCAAAAGTCCTGTTAACTTTTTTTAATTTTTCCTAAACACATTGTTTATATAAATTAATTATAAACAATTTGATGTAACAATTGGATGAAAAATCAACAACAGTAAATTTAACTTAATTAAACTATTTTTTCCTCCATCAGTCATTATATTATTTAATTTGTTTCAAATACTCCAAAAGTTGATCGCAGCTGATAAAAATGATTTGATTAAATTTTCTTCTAGTTTTTTAATCAGAGAAATACAAATAAATCTCCGCACCTTTATCAGAAAACCATTTTCTGATTATTTTAATAGTGCCATAAATTAATTTAATAATATAATTACTTTGTGCCTGTGTAATTTATATTTTCTTAAAGTTTTTCAATTTCCTTAAGTGGTTCTATTTGTCGATATCGCTTTTAATTAATCTGCTTATTGGAAACCAAAACCTCCTTTTTGGCTTCGGTAACGATTTATGTAAAATTTGTTCTCATGAATAACTTGTTATAACCGTGAATTCACCCATGGGTGTGTGGGTCATGTATTGTTCTAAATGAAAAATCGCTCTACATGATTCGGCTGCAGGCTGCAACCACAGTACGTGACCTTTCTTGGCCAAAGTTGAGGGGGAAAAACCACAGAGGAAAACCAAATATCGTTAATATACCCTACATATATAAAATCTTATATTTTATGAATTTGTTTCCTGTATATTTTATTCTGGTTATCATATTTGACGAAAGTTTTATGCAAATAAGAACAGCAACAGTGTTGATTTTATATCAAAGTGACAGTGAAATAAAATAATTATATCTTTGTGAATGTCTAGAGACTTTTGAAAAGTCTTTTGTAATTTATTTTAAATCCTCACTTTGGCATGCTGGTTAAAATATGTGAGATTAAAAACAAATTACTTATTTTGACTCATGTTGAGTTAGCTTTTCTTCAGTTGGCTTTTTGAGTCGTTATTTGAAAAACAATAACAATGAATCGCCTGAAAAAACTCTCTGTGAAAATCTCCTGCAAAACATTTTGACTCTTACGCTAAAAGAAAATTATTTGAAATATTTTACTCTTTTTTTTTAGAAGAATTTGATACAGTACCATGCAACTTGGACTTTTTCAACTAAAACTTAAAATCTAGTTAAAATGATAAATTCTCCTGTTTTTACTGAAGAGAATTATTTCATCAGTTTATGAATTTTACTGTTTCATAGAGCAAACTAAAGAATTTCTCTTCCACAGCTCATGAAATATGGCTAGTGAAATTCTTCTATAAAAATAAATTTTAATGTGTGCATTACGAAATTGCTCGCATCAATTTATAGGATGCGTAAAAACAATATAGTGGAAGCAGCATAGGTTGTAATTTATTCAAAACATTGGGGAGGCAACAAAGCAGCTTGTCACACTCTCCTCGTAAATTCAGACGGTTTCGGCGAAAAGCGCACAGTGGTGTACTTTTGACACACGTCGGCTCCTCCAGCTACCTCTGTAGCAAAATAATGAAACTCTCAAACACAAAACGAGTGAGGCGAGCGAGTATCGCATTTCGCGCGCTTGTGTTTCTTGTTTGCATTTTATTTCAGCGCCTATGTTTGCTCTGAAAAGCGGAACGGCGGCGCAGCGGAAAAAAGAAGAGCACGCGAGCGAGAAGAAAACTCGCCGAGAATATATGAAAGAGAGAAAGAATAAGAAGATGCGCGGGAATGTAAATGGCCAAAATCTGCTGCTGCTTCTTCTTCAAAGAGATCTTTTGGCGGTCTCGCGTTTATTCATAATGGCATTCCGTCATGTATTTATTTTCTTTGGGGAGGATTCTTGTTTATTATTTCTTTAACTTGAGAGAGTGTTTTCTCAAATTGAGTATACACAAGTTGATGTATTAAAGGAGTTGTTGAAGCGAGTCAAAAGAAGCAGCAAAATAGTATCAAAAAACGGTTCAAAAGTAAAACAACCTTTTAGTAACGAAATTCAGAGTTCAAACAAAAATAGTTCAAATGAAGAGCTTTAATGTACAATTTATTCAACGGAAAGTATTTTGTATTTTTCCAGTTCTTACTCTCCATATTATATTTAATATTTCATTACATTTTTTAACAAACTCATCTCAGTACAGAGACAAATTTGATACATTCAATTTATGATCATTCTCAAATCGAAAAATTTACGTAACAAATGAAAAATCCTGTTTTTTTTCTTGTACTTCACTTTGCGGTAAAAGAGTGACGAAAAGTCTTTAATAAAAAACTGAACCACTAAATCCCAAAATTTGAGCTTTTCTCGCATTCAGAGATTACTGTATTTTAAAGAAATTGCCATATTTTAGTGTTTAAAATGAAGAAAAGTTCAGTTTAAAAAAAAAATCGCATTCCATTATTTTCAATTGGGCCTTTACAATTTGATATAAAATTCTTTAATTTTTTTCCTGCATATTCAAATATTTTCCCAAACAAATATCACAAATTTTTACAGCAATTTTCCATCATGAATATTTTGCTGGCAGCTGAAAATTGCGTGATATTTTATGATTTTCAATTAACTGGTCAAATTCCAGACATTTTGAAACAGATTTGAAAAATGTTTGATAAAAAAGGCAATATTAGATGTGTTTATTTTTCACTCCCTGTGTGTTTAGTTTGCTGGAGGGTCAATTCACGGTATTCAGATCACGTTAGCACTTCAGCAACGTTCGCCGTTGACTTCCGCAGGTCGGACCACTCAGAGCTAATGCAATTGCATCCCAGGCAGATTCTCGTTAATATGCTGAAACGGTTTGTTTAGAAAGTGGCTCTCTGTCTCTGCTCTTGGATGCGGCGAGATTAATTCATTTCTGCGCTTAATGCGCAGTCCGTGTCGCCTAGCTTGTTTCCTGAACACCCCGAAACGTCACCTTTTGTCTCCCTTAAAAGCTTCCGACTAAAATAACACACACATACGAAGCCTAATCTAATGCGGGCCTGGTTAATAATAGCGTGCGTCACTATTCAGCGGGATTTCGTCTCAAAATTCGTGCGCGCCAGCACATGTCAACGTCTAGCCCCGAAGCGTACAAGCTGCGTTGAAAGTTAAAATTAGATCCGGTATGTATACGATTTCCCGCGCTGACCTCGCAGCCCCCGTAAAGGTCGTCCGGTGACCTATGCCACGTCAATTAAACGCTCGAGTGGAATCTCCGCAGCGGCGCCTTATCGTTGCAAGGAATATATTAGAGGGAGGAAATTATCCTACGAAGAATGAAGTCAAGTTGCCTTGAAAGAAAGTTGTGGATTTTATAAAATTCTAACACAAAAAATAGTTTCAAATTAATGTTCTTCGGTTTAAGTAAATTTATTACACTAATAATGATTGTAATATGTGAAAAATATTGATGTAAAATTACATTTTTTCATTTGAGTGAATCAGAGTGAAGAAAGAAGTGCACGTAAGGAAGGTTTTGTCTGTAATTTTGAAATATGTGTTGTTTTTTTGGACACGTACTGTGTTTCAGATGAAAATTAATGATCTAATTTTCCATAATAATAAATAAAAAAATTATAGTTTCAGTCTCTCCTTTAGGTATTATACGGCATGTTTCAAAAAGAAATTGGTGCTACTTTGCAAGGAAATTCTCATGAAGAAATTTAAATTTCAATGTGATAAAAAAAAATTATTTTGTGGAAAAATAGTACTGAGGATTAAAATTCCTAGCGATTTGATTGACTGACAATGAGACTAAAAAAAATGCTTGATAGTTATAAAAAATGCTTAACAAGGGACCATAAAATTTTGTAACTTTGCAACCTACACAATTACAGACAAGTATTGACAAATCCATAAATTGATATTAATATAAATTAACTATTTCTTATTCGCCAAAATATGTACATCAGAATTTAAAGTAATTTTATTATTTTTTTCTTGCTGTATTTTTTTTTTAACAATTATTGATGTTTCCATAAATTGAACAAGAAATTGAAGTGGAAACCTCAATTATTTAAAGCTTATTAAAATTGAATGGATGTGCCGGGATGTGCATTCCTCACTCTCAAAATTAACCCTAAATATTCAAACACTGCCAAATCACCCCTCTCGGATTCCATCGGACGCCGTGCAGCATTAATCCAGACTTCTTCCTCTTTTTCAACACAGACGTAAGCTCTACTCAAGAAAAGTTGGGAGCGAAAGATTAATTTAAAGTGGAAGGACGAAAACCCTTTCCCGAATCTAATCTTCTCCCCAAGCCTGGATAGAAATCCCTCAGCAAATTATCTGCCCGCCGAGAGTCAAAAGCTCTCTGTTTTTCTTCTCTTCATCGCTGGTCATGTGCGGCTAACGACGAAATAGGCCGTGGATTTCTTTCTTTGTGCCATGAAATGAAATAAGAAAAGAAAGGGAGCGCGGAAATTTCATCTTCCGGCCCTAGAAGGGAGAATTTCTTTGATAATAACGGAGCTCTCAGAGGCTCTCACTTGACGTAAACAATTTGAAAGACGAAATATATGTCATAAATAAAAGCAGCCAGCAACAATGAGCGCCAAACAACATCATCCTCTCTCTCTCTCTCCGCCTTTATTTCTCTCTCTAGCGCGCCCTCAAATGCCAGAGAGGAGCAGTCGAACGAAGAAACGAACACACCATTACATTCTTCGGTAATTAACGAGCAGAGCGATCTTTAATCACTGCCTGCTTTTGCTTTTGTTTTCGTTTGCAACTGGCTGGCTGATGCTGCAGGCGCTCATCAATTAAGCAGCAGTTTGCTCTTGATTGCAGAATAAAAAGAGCAGCCCCCGGAGCAAACGTCCAAAGCAGTCAACACGGTCTCCGGTTTCAAAGTCATAAATAATTAATTTGTACTTAATCCCGTTTGTTTAACTTTAAAAACAGTCAGATTTGAATGAAATAAAATAAAATTAATGAAATTAAATTCAAATTTAAAAAAAATGGATTATTGACTTA